GACTTTTCCAGTCTTCGCCAGTTCCCCGTTCCATACTGCTGCTTATTAGTTGACATTCATTGCCCATATTCCCAGTGACCATGCAGGGAATTCAGAAGACCTCACACTCAGGTGCCTTTCCTCTAACTCCATTTGTCCTTTTCCTTTGTCTCAACAGCAACTCCAGTGCTGGGATCAGATATGACCATGAATCCTGATGCCTCCATACCTCCTTTCACTGAACTGCCCTTTCCCCCAACCACTCCTGAACCCCTACACCGAACACCCTGGCAGCAGTACTCGCTGCCCCTCATGACTTCATCATGCCCTCCTGGTGTCCCTCTGGGACTCTCTGTTATCCCCAGGACACTGCTGCTGCCAGGAGTTGGGGACTCTGGCCCCACTGGAGCCAGGCCTGGCAAGGTCATTGTCCAAGTCAGGACAGAAGGGAAATCAGCAGAGTTCCCTGGAACTCAGACGTTTTTCATGGCACACACCCCACTCAACTGGAGTGCCCTGGGGGCTCCCGGCAGGGCAGTTGAGCATATATCACCCCCATTTGGGGAAGCCTCTGCTATGCAGCTAATGATCCCTGCCACTTTTGTTGTGGGTACTCAGGCTTGTAGGGAAGGTTGGTCCCCAGCTCTTTCTCTTCAAGCTCCAAAACCAGCTACCCAGCTGGCCTCCATTTTTCCCCAAGTGAAAGCTTGGTCAGGACAACATGCTTCTTCTGGGGAGGAAAGTCTGGACAGCACACAATCCAGGCCTTTGCTGGATGACTCCTCCTGTAACCCCAAGAGTGTTTACGAGAACTACCAACATTGGCAAAGCTTCAAGTCCCTGGCCCGGAGGCACCATCCCCACAGTCCTGATACAGAAGCTCTTTCCTGCTTTCTCATGTGAGTGTCCTAGTCAGTGGGGACACCTGAGATTATCCTGTAGTTTTCAAATAAAGAGATCTTGGGCAGACACAATGGACGTTAGGCTCTTTAGGAACACTTGAAAGAGGGTCAGTCATCAGGGCAATGGGATATGTTATGAGAAGATACATTTCCAAAAATATTAATCACACCGCCCCGTATACAACACTTTCAGGTGCCTTATCTCAGTCAATGCTGACCACCTTGTACGTGAAGCCAATCTTTATATTGCAATCATTAGCCTAATAATTATTTACAAGAGTCTAAACATTGTGGTAAAGTGCAGAGCCATGATGTGAATTTTCATCTCCGAGTACACACACCACGTTCCTCCACTGGTCTTTATCTTGCCACACACGAATTGACCAAATGTTGGCAAGTGCCATATCAAATCCAGAGGAGGGGGAAACAGGCAAGGCCCAGGACAACCATTTTCAGTATACTCCCATCCTCACTCCTCTGGAGAATTCCAGTTAGAACAGGGAAGTGATAGAGTATGCATAGTGGTGAAGGGCTGGGCTTTGCCCTTGCTAGATTTGTAATCCTGAGCAGGGCATTGTACATCTTCACCCTTGAGTATCTCATCAAATAAGGAGGCAATTACAATTAATTCAGAGGATAACTAAGGAGATGACATGAGCTAATATATGAAGTGCTCCAAAAGTGCCTGATACATGCTATGCCTCATTAAATTCTGTTCATTTTT